ACAAGTTTTCATTTAGTGGGGAATAAAAAATTAATAAATGTTAAATATTTTTTTTTTTTTTTTTTTTTTTTTTTTTTTACCAAATTATGAACAGGGTAGGTTATATTTTTGTTTGAATGTTTTGGAAGGAAGAACATTGATTAAAAAAAATACATTATATGGGTATATTGTAAATATGTGACTAGATAAGGGGGAATAAGCATATGTAAGAGTTGTATGTTTACTAACTGAAAATCTGCTTCGAAGACTGTTAAAATTGAAAATTGGCCATTAATCCCTAGAAATAAGAATTTGGGGCCTAACATTTGGTAGAAGTTAAAAGAGTCCTTAGTCAAGTATTTCAGCCCGATAAGGTCAAATTCTGTGAACCTTCACCTTGCCGCACTTGACTTGAGCATAAAAAAACTGGCATTTAAAAACAGCCCCTGTTCACAGCTCTTGCTAAACATAGCAAGAAATGTAAATCAGATCTAGCGGGTGGCTAAGAATAGCAGCTTACTTAGAAGCATCATGTCAAGGGTCACTAAAACATTTCAAAAGTGTGCTGTGTCGTAAAGTTCAGGGCCTGAAAACCTCCTCTCTTACTAGGCTACTGCAGCTCCATTAAAATTAGTTTGCAAGTCTGGAGATAACTTTAAAAATCTGAGCAACGGGAACTGGGCTCAAGTGCGAAGTAAACGTGAATTTTACGAAAACATGGTAACAGCCATTTATGTAAGCGTTGTGAGCAGAAAATACCAGCAGAAATACGGGGCATTTGATATGAATGCGTGTTACGACGCTTGAATGTGTCTAATTTATGTACAGTCAAGTTGTTTTCAAATTAATCTTTGTGTCAAATAGACATACATGTACATTCCATATAACATTAAACAATGAGACTTAATACACCGAGGTGCACACTAATACGCAATAGACCACGTTAACAGACAATATGCTCTATTTACTGACCTTCACTGAGTTTATCTCCATCATCTTCATCATCCCTTTTCCCAGACACCTGTTCTGTCACTGGTTTGTGACCAGTAGTTTCAGCATGAGTTTGGGAATAAAGATCTGGGCTTATTAGGGCTGCAAGGTACTCTTGTCCTGGTTAAAAAAGTATATTTATCTATATTAAATGGTGCAGTTTTAATAACTGGCTGTAACATAACTTTTATTATTATTATTTTTTTTTTTTTTTTTGATTTATGGAATGACCCGTTGTACTATGAAAATCGAGCTGTTGATTCATATCACACCCATTTTAAAGCGGTAGCAATGGCTACCTGTTACAGCACGCACTTTATTCAAAATTTTAACTTTTATGCATGCAATTTTTCTATCAATACGCACTACCATACCTACAAAAATCTAGTTCATTACTATGGACCAAATGAATGGGACATTCTCCCAGTATACTTACATACTATACAGTCTAAGGCCTATTTTAAAAAGAAGTTATTTTTTTATTAAAAAATAAGTTTTACAACTGATTTGACAAGTTATCTTAACATTATACTATCTATTCTAAAATCTGAAAATTTTAACCGTTTATATATACATTGACTTTGTGCGAGACATTTTAACACATTGCTATCTTAACTGCCCAATTATCTTTTGACTTTATTCAGCTTCTGTTCATTTTAAACCTATAAAGTCTACCCAACATTTTATATGGATTTTAGACTATAAATAATAATAATAATAATAATAATAATGATAATAATAATAAAATTATTATTATTATTATTATTATTATTATTATTATTATTATTATTATTATTATTATCGATGGTGGTGGTGGCAGTGAAAAATATCATAAAGATTAAGTGCTAAGATAAAACTTGCATGAAAAACCACTTTGTATTCATATAGGTCGCACTCTTTTCACGTTTTTTACTCTGATCTGTATTATCTGTATGTTAAGCAAATAAAAACAGAATTAAGATTAATATCTTATTGTAATTTAGACACTGATTATACCGAAATTGCATACACTGTTACACTGTACAAGCTTCCTGTGTCCCCAATACATATAACAATGACTGAGGATTGACGCAAACTAGAACTGCGAGGACCACGTGAAAACAAAAGGCGGATAATCTATGATTGGTGATAACTAATCATCCAGTTTATTTGTATTACTTTACCTGTTAATCAATAGTTTTAACCAATTATGACATAAAACTAACTCACCTGTCTCAATAAGCGCGTTGCACAGCTCTTCAAAAGCAGCAGGGCCTCTCGTTGGAAGGATATTAAGAATGATGCCAACTTTCTCGGACCTTGTAGGTATACTCTGAATGTCAAATATGATGGATTCTAAATAATAAATTGTTTTAAACATCTCCATTATATACATATATCATATATC